TCTCACACCTCTTAACCTGAGGAAAGAAACAGTTTCAGTTTCCGAAACTTTGTGTCCTTTATTGTTTTTTAGAATACCGGTCAATAGACAAAGCCAAAAACCCATTAATCCCAAGAACAAAACTACATGCACTGTTCATTTTTTTCAATATTTTACGGAACCCGAAATTTCACTACCGTATCCACGAGGGCCCTCTTCTGGTCCCTATCCTAAATCAAATGAATCCATTCCATACATCCCTAACCTATTTCCCTAACACACATTTTAATATTATCCTCCAACTTACGTCAAGACTTCCTAATGGTTTCTTTGCTTCTGGCTTTCCCACCAAATCCTGTATGCATTCCTCTTCGCCCTCATTCGTGCTACATGCACTGCCCATCGCAGCCCATCTTATCCTCCTTGTCTTGATGATTATTATTATGTTTGGCGAGAAGTATAGGTTATGAAGCTCCTGACTACGTAATTTTCTCCAGCTCCATATTATTTCATTCCTCTTGGCTCCAAATATCTCCCTCAAAAAGCTGTACTCACACACCCTCAGTCTCTGTTCTTCCCTTAATGTCAGATGCCAAGTTTCATATCCACACAAAACCCAGGCAAGATTTCAGTTTTTATATTCCACTCTTTATGTCTTAGGAGAGCAAACAAAATAAAGATTTTGCCCCGAATAATATCAGTAATATACTCTAGTCAAATGGCAAATTATAAAACAACCAAAAGCCGCGAGGCCTCATAACACGCAAAATAAAACTTCCATCACATATGTAATTTACTACACAGAACTTAAAAATGTAACTTTGGCTTGCGGAACTTAGTCGCGTCATATTTTGCGAAATTTGGTTGATGACTGCACGTCAGCCTGTATAATAGTAATTATTACAGTTTAAGTAAATCATGAACTTACCCCAATTAATTTACTCCTGGTTCTTTGACAGACATTTTGATAATATAATTATGATCAAAATCCCACCAACATGCTGAACATTCACGTTTCATGAAAGCCGAGAATGTCATGGCCGATCACAGTTGCAGGACGGTCTAAGGCATGAATCATCTTCGCCCTCTCGAACACTGGGATCGTCGGTTCGAAGCCCATTCGTGATATCGATATGTGTGTGTGCGTTTATTCTGCGTTTGTGTTGTTCTTTGTGTAGGTAGCTGCCTTGCGACGGGCTGATCCCCCGTCAAAGGAGTCCTACCGACTGTGTATGGATTAAGAAACTGAAAAAATGGCCAAGGTCCGCAAGGGCTGTAGAGCCACAGATAAATAGAGATTGTTATGACAAAATAATTAGCAACTGCTCTAGCGGACCCCGCACTTTGCAGTTAGAAGACTTCGTTAAACAGGTTGATATCACACGTGAGCAGCGTAAACATATCCGTATTTACTTACACCTGTTTCTGAAGTTCCACTTCCCTCGGGCAATTGTAGCATCATTGCACGGTATAATATAATTAAACCTGGCTCTGAAGTCTCATATGTCTATGAAAATTTAATTTATCTAATCTATCTATCTATGGCTGTACAGTCCTTTGTTGGGCCTTCGCCGCTTTTTCAGTTTCTTAATCTATACACAATCGGTAGGATTCCTTGGACGGGGGATCGGCCCATCGCAGGGCCGCTACCTGCATGTAGGACAACACAAACACAGAATAAATGCACACAGACATCCATGCCACGAGTGGGATTCGAACGCAAGACCCCAGTGTTCGAGCGGACGAAGGTAGTTCATGACTTAGACCTCGCGGCCACTGCGATGGGCAAGAAAATTCTAAAGACATAATATAATTTAAAGAATGGACTTTCAGTTCTAGAAGGCTCTGGAATCGAACCTTTATCCGTAAAGACGTTTGGTGCGCTTGAATGCAAATTTTATGATTTTAGGAAGGGCACCGCTTCTATGTGTGGGAGCCCTTGGATTCGAACTCAGAAAATTTTGATGATTTATAGTGCATCTACAACCTTTTCTGAGTGTCATGAAATAATTATTGTAACTTTTAGCTATGCAGGACCTGCAATTTACTTATTAACAAACATACTTGCTATAAATTTTATTTTAGGTTATGCAGTCTGTCTTTAACTTACCTGTGAAGAAAGACGCGACATGTTGGAAGGTTGCAGCCACAGATTAACCTTGAAGTAGCTACGATATACGAAGGGGGTGGGGGTCGACATACACACGAGCTGGGATCGTCAGTCGTTTGTTTCAGCTACGTCAGCGATGCGATGTCACTTGTTTCAGTGGCGGAATGTACGTGACACAGCACTTGCTGCAGCCTCGTACCATTAATAATATACCATCAATAATAAAACAGACACTAACAGTAAGAATACAAAGTGCAAAGCTGATTTGCTGTTAGTGTATATTATTGTGCTTAGGCAAGAGGTCATGAAAGCGTATGGAGGACGTGAAGGAAGAACGTGACTCACGGGAAAATGCGTTGAGATGAGCGATGAGTTTCAATTCCCCAAAACTTTACCTCCAATAAAATATACTTTTGTTTGTTCATTCGATTATTTTACGAAGTTCTGTCCTCTTCCTGGTCTAGTTATTTGTCATCTTCATAGATTCTTATATTATCAAATAGGAAGATGATTAGGAAGTATTTCAGGCAAGTATACTACCATTCGATTTGAGGGACTGAAGAAGAGCACGAACCCTTGATAAGGATAGCGCATCTGGCGACAGAGTTTAGGACAGCTAGCCACTAAACTGTGACGCTTGGTACAGGCAGTATCCGGCACACTGAACTGAAACATACTCTGCCCACACCGGGGATTGAACCCCGGCATTCCTGACACTGTGAGACCACAACGTGTAGTCTTGTCTATAAAGATTTCCGGTGTAAGTTTAGATTAGGAGACCTATTATCCTGATAGGATTTATTTCGTGATTAACCTTAGTTTCTTCAGGAAAATATTAAAATATTGTTTTAAAACTGACCACGTCCACTTCCACACATTTCCAACTAATGTTTCTGGAGCATACTACCGATCTACACTACGAATAAATAACATATACAGTTATACTAACGTCATTAAATGGATTGGAAACAAGAGATCTGGAAAACCGGACAGATATTTTTGATGTCACTAATTAATTTTTTTATTCGCTTAGTGGAGAGGGTAGAATGCAGTTGGGTCCACTCGGCACGGTGACCACTGATTGGCCTACCGTACCTACTCCGGGTGATTATGATGATGGAAAATTTGGTGGAATGAAGATTGGCAGGGGAAACCGAAGTACTAGGAGAAAACCTGCCCCAGCGCCAGTTTGTGCACCACAAAACCCACTTGACCAGACCCCCGGGCTCGAACCCGGGCCACCGCGGTGGGAAGCCAGCGACTAACCGCTTGAGCTATGGCGCGGCCTTGACGTCACTGAGTTCCCCTAGATTGACGAGAAGCTGGGTGGTGATGGACAACAGTTCGGGTCTCTGACAACTGGGAGGCGAACCAGAATGGCTTATTAACACAGTTTAAGGGACAAACAATTTAGAGAGAAGACGAAGAGGACGTTTAATGAACCGAGGCGATACTGTCTATGAATCCAAGTCAGCTACTGGACAGTCATACGTCCCCTTACCTTCCTTATAATACAACTTAATAATCACACTCGCACACAAATCGGTTTCCAAGAAATTTTCCCACAATGTCTGTCTTTCTTGGTTGAGGCACTGTGCTACAAGCAGGAAGGTTGCGGGTTCGATTCCCGATTAGGTTCTTCGGATTTTTCAATTGACCTAATCTTTCCAACCGCACTATGGTACTGAGGTCGACTCAGCCTCTTAACAGAAATGAGTACCAGGAATCTTCTTGCGGGGTAAAGGGCCGTCAGCGCGTAAGGCTTACAACCTCACCGCCATTTGTGAGCCGAATGTCTAGAAAATGTGGGAGCCTCGACGTCCCATAACCCTTCACGACCTGTTACAGGGATAGGTTTGCCTTTTTTCCTACCCTAGCTACATGTCCATCCCATCATAATCTTTATTTGAATACCTTAATAGTACTTGGTTAAGCGCAGTATACTTCATTTTCTGTCTACTTTAACCCTCACTATGTCCGAATATTTTCCTAAACACTTCGTTCTCGAACACAAACACAAACCAGAAAATAAATTTCTTCCCTTAAAAGTGAACGCCATGTTTGAAAGCTATACAAAAGAGTTGGTGGAATGCTTTATACATGACAATCTCTAACGTTCCTGAAGTGTTTTTGGTTTATTAAATACTGAAAAATAGAATTACACTTGAGCTGTACATTTTAATATTATCCTAAGAATCGTCCGATTCTTATTTTTCAAGATGCTTTGGAACCGGAAAATTCTATATACCACTTCCTTTTCAATGCGTACTGCATAATCTGCCCACCTCAATCTCCATTATTAGATTGTTCTAACAATGCTGATTGACTATGGTGACGGAAGGTCAAGGTTCAAATCCCAGCAACTCTTCTTTGCATATACGTCAATGTAGGTTATTCAGAGACCACATAGGTACCTTACGAGAAGATAATGGCTTCCCTCCCTCTGGTCTGAAGCTGCAGTAAAGGTGGATGTTTAACTCCATGCCTCCATACGTCCCAAAAGCATACAATTGAGACACAGGAACCTGAATACGAGACTATGAAGGAAGTATATCCATATTACGTAATCTGGTCCGTTTTATTTTTAATTTATTTCAATTTAAATATTCTCTTAAATACTCTGTTATAAATTGCTTCCACTCAGAGAGCAGGACGGGATTTTGTAAACAATTCATAGTTATTTTATGATTTTATTTTTATTGAATTTTAATATACGAAGCATTGGGACTACGCCTGAAACTTAGGCTTGTCTGAATGTGTAACGCTGGCTGATTTGGACTGTCACACGAATTGCTTTTGACGATCCGACACTGTAAAGCTGGATAGACTATCGATAAGAGCCATATCGTTCGGACGAATCGAAACTATTCCTTAATTCACTCGATTCACCCGACCTACGGTGTCACTGGGTTGTTCAGGTGCATTTTCTCTCCGCCAGTTTTATCAACATTTACCGTGGAAGATCAGTGTTCAGCGCTGCAAGCTGTAGCAACTGTACATCTTCAAGGTATTTGTGTCTTCATATTAATTGCGTTAAATTAGCGGATGTCTAACGGCCATAACACGCTGACAACACCGGTTCTCGTCCGGTCACCGAAGTTAAGCTTGGATGGGTGACCGTTTGGGAACACAACGTGGTTAGCACATCATTTTCCGCGCCATAGCTCAAGCGGTTAGTTGCTGGCTTCCCACCGCGGCGGCCCGGGTTCGATCTCGGGGCTGGTCAAGTCGTATTTGTGGCGGGCCA